TATACCATTTAAGTCTGACAGATCAAACGCCCAATCACTTTAACAACATTTCATGCCATCTCCGCTTTCACCCAAGATTTGCCGTTTTTTCCCCATCATCAGATCACAAAACAGCACTCTGTAATTTCAGCCAAATGCAATGGAAAAGCTCAGAGCAGCAATCAGATTTAATCACGTATGAAGAAATGTAATTTTGGAGGACATTGGGGCACAGTGGCTTGATACGGACATTAGTTACTATGCAAAAAGGCATGGCCGTAGCCTCTGAATATGAATTTATGAAGCCTGCTTGTGATTTCAATCTGACTAATGTCTCAGAACAGACCCATCTGTGCTGGGACGACCCCCGAGGTGAGGGTTTAGGGGGGGGCAGAGGGAAAGCTATGGCATCAACTGAACAAGAGAAGTGCAAATGTGTCTGCTAGCCTCTAACTTTAAGGATAGGGGTCTTTGAAGTGCCCTTTGTGAAGTGTTTAAGAATAGTTTAAGCTGAAGTTTTACCACAGGTTACACCAGGGCAGCTGAGGTGAAGTGCGGATGAGACTGAACTAAGGAACTGCATGAGAATACCATTAAGGGACTAATCCTAATTTAGCCCGCGTTTGCTGGTGATCTCTGTGATCATGGGTTTCAGTTTGAATTTTATATAAATGCCATTTTGAGTACTTTTGATAACAGTTTAACAATGTTTTAAAAGTGCACTATGTAACTTTTTGAGTGGGGGTCCATCACCTGCTTGTTTCTATGAAAATGTCATTGCTCTGCCTATGGCAAAGGAGAAATTCAATTTATCAACTGGACAAAAGTTTATTTAGTCAAATACATTTCGCAGCTCATCCAAGCTGCTTCTTCAGTTCTGGCCGGAATGCTGGTGGATACTTCCTAATATCTGTCTGAAGGGAGAAGCTAACTACATTGAAACTACTCTGAAACTAACACACCTATTATTTACAGTTTCTGTTAGTTATTTAGGCCTATTGATCTTGCACTGAGTGTGGGGTCTTATTAGCATAATCATTCAAGGCCATAATGGAGCTTTCACACCTCTGGACCTGACCTGGCTACACCCATTGTTCTCGTTTGTTTTGATTTAGGTTTGAGGATGGAGTTGTAAATAGGAGGTAGATGGTGTCTGAGTCCTTTGTTTCTGTTTAGAGAAGAATTCTCTTTCTTAACAAAAATAGCTTCTTTATCTCCTCTCTCAAACAAATTATTTTCTCTGGCTAAGATCTGTACCTCGCTGTCATCAAAGGAGTGGCCCATGGCTTTTAGATGGAGATGTACAGCAGATTGAGGTCCACTGCTGCTCTCTCATCTGTGTTGGTACATCCTCAAGATCAATAGGCCTAACTGACTAACTAACTAACTAACTAACTTTCAGAGTAGTTTCAGTGTAGTTAGCTCCTCCCCTCAGGAAGATATAAGGAAGTATCCACCAGCATTCCGACCACAACTGAAGAAGCAGCTTGGATGAGCTGGGAAATGTGTTTGACTAAATAAACTTGTATCCAGTTGTGACATTGAATTTCTCCTTTACCATGGATTCTACCTGGACGACCTGGCACACATTGCTCTGCCTAGAATATTCCACAGTATGACATTAAACAGCTCTACCTTACATTTAATTCATAAAGTACATCTGGTTTTATAGCTCAAAAATACCTAGAAAAACAGGCATTCTGACTCCACAGATCTGACCTGTAATTTGGACTGGTTTGGTCTCCATGAAGATAGAAAGGTTTAATACCTACTGTGAAACATTCCAGACAAAGCAATAACATCTCCACCAGAAAAGTTACACAATGCACCTTGAAGTAGACTATACATATATATTTTTTGTTGAATTAGCATTAACAATTTTCATATTTATCCCAAACAAAAAATGCAATTAACTTAAATATGGCATGTTGTCATAGTTGCTGTGGGACAGACTGACTAAGCGGTGGCAGTCATTAAACTTTCATACTAAACACAAAACTAGTGAAAAAATATCCAAAACTGTCCTTCTTGTCCCCAGATGTAACTTGTAACTGTCCTCGTTGAAAAGACTAAATAATTCAAGTAATGTTTAACAAGATAATTGAAAAGTCTCCTTGGTCAAACAATGAAGTCTTTCTCTAATAACTTCAATGCACTTCCCAAACTTCATTTTTGTATTTTAAGCTTGTGCATAGGTCCAACTTCAAAAGAAAGTGCATTTGCTGTGTGCGTCTCATTACTGCATACAGAAAGACTTGTGTGTTGAAAGCTAGAGTCCAGGCAGCGTACAGTAGTTGTTATTGTAGCACCTGGCTCTCATTCTGTGTCCCCTCTGTGTCCACACCAGATCCCATCGCACTTCCATGTTTGCTTTGAAAATAAACAAGAGCTTCTGTTTAGTCAAAACACGGCAGCCCCAATGTTTTTTTTATCTCAAGCCGGTATCAAAAAGAGACTGAGTTTGGCCTCCACAGTGCTGTACCCGCCAGGTGTGGTCCACTTCCTCACGCTACAGTCCAGTATGTCTCAAATGGACCAAAGGAATACTCAGAAAATCAAGCGCACCAGTATGTATTACGAGATTTGCATGTGTGAAAAACATTTGTGGAGGTGTAAAATGGTTTGGGTCTAGCTGTGAGAGCCAAGTGCGTTTCAATCCACACTTGAATCCTGAACAGGTTGGACATTTTCAAAATAATGTTCCGCAAATGTATTTTATAATGTGTAAAGTGTTTAAAAATGTGTCTCCAAAGCTAAATATATTTAACTATTTCCAGCATGTTGGACACTTATTATTCGACATTCTGTTTGAATCCAGATTGGACTAGATCTGAACAATAGAGGATAAAAAAAACTCTGTCCGAACTTGAGATTGTCCAACCATAGCTGCAAATTTGTATCACGTGTCTCAAATGTGGAAGATGTTGCTTGAAAATTCTCTTATGATTCAGAACCAAGTATATAACTTCTTTTACCTGAGATTAGTAACAGTTTGGTGCCTTGATTCAGAGAAAATCCACACTGTCTCTCAGTCCTCTGTGTTGTTTTGTCTCCTTTTTTAAGTGTAAGCAACCATGTTTGTTTTTGATGCGAACAGACCATGCGTTAATCTGCCTGTCAATCACGCCCTCTGAAATCAAGGAGAAGGGAAACAGCTCCAGATCCACTCGTCTTTGTAAAGTTTGTGAAAGCGTGTGGTTCTGCCTGGTCAGGTAATGAAACTGTACAACTGTATTTAAAGTAACGCAGTATAACTTTCTAGAGGTAGCATGCCAAAGGAACAATATTTACATGGAAACAAGAAACAGGGCCCTAGTCCAGGCGAAGAGTCAGGTTTTTGAGATTTGAGATGTTGCAAGAACACATTACAGTGTTGGACAAAATTATCCAACAATATGTTTTTAGTTTTGGCTGTCTTTATTACTGAAAAATATTACAACATGGGGTTTTAATGTGTAAACTATTAAAATGTTTCTCCAATATAAAAATTGAAAAATACAATCAAATATTTAACAATTCACCCATGTTGAAATTACGGCCAATAGTGTAAACATATGATTGTAGCAATGGGTATGTGGTTATGCTTTAGTTTGATTCACAACAAACCAGAATGTCCTTCAAATCAGATAATGGATTGGTGATTTTATTCTTGCTATGTCTTAGTGCATATTGTCATCATGTCCTTGGGCAAGTCACTTGAACCACAGTGCCTGTTCATAGGTGTTTGCAACACAAATGGATCAATGTACACATTCATGTAAAGCATTGTTGTTGTTTTGTTGTAGTTTTTACTCATTACATACAGATTTGTCAGGGGTTTTATCAAACATGTAATTCCGATCTATTAGCCTAACCCCCATTACTGAAATAAAATGCGAAAGTGGTTTGAATTTTAAACTTGTGCTTTTACAGCCTGAAAAGTGCATGTCATTTTGGATAAAGTTCAAATTGCAAATGTTACGCTCAGTGCAAGCAGCCATGTTCCGTGTTTGTTTATTAGATGGATTATTTTAGCCTGAGAACCCAGACTGAAAGACTAATAGTAAATGTCACATGCTGTAGGGACTGGGTAAAGTGTAAACAGAGCTTAAATGTGCTTCTAAAGTGCTCAGCTTTGCCTAAAGGGAGTGGTACATGAGCCACTCCAAAGACTAGACAGACTCAAGAAGAGCACCATTCACAAAGCATCGTGAAATAAAAAACATCTTGTTTCATGTCTTTGATGAGCATACTCAATGTCAGTGTTAAAATGCACCATGTAAATTTGCTGGGGGAGGGTCCGCCAGCGTCTTGTCTCCATGGAGATGTGTAGCTTTGCCTGGAATGTTACACGGTATGACATTTATCTTATCGATCCAAAAAGAGAAGCAAGTGATGCCACTAGGTCAGGTCTGTGGAGAGGCAAGCCTGCTCACAGCGAGAATTCATATTTTTTGAACCATAAAACACATGTAATTGAGCAAACGCACACATATGATTAATGTCATACTGTGTAACATTCAAAGCAAAGCAATAGCATCTCCATGGAGACAAGCAGCTGCCCAGTAAAGTTAGTCGACCTTTATCCTCCAAAAGCTCCTATGGATTTGTACAATCGACTTATAAAGTAATATGGTAAAGTGATGTCGGACAGAGGTTTCCAACTGCTGTGACCTAAAGTGGGTCACACTGATTTTATGATATAAATTTTATGAATAATTTTAAACACTTTAATCCAGCCAAAGTAGTGCACCAGCATCCACTAAATACATTTGAATGTGTCAAAGGGCATCTTGGATAAAAACTATTGAATAAATCAGTAATTGTTATAACATTAAGAAACAGATGGCTTGCTTTGAAAACTCCAGAACACAGAAGCTAAAAACAACCAAAAACCAATGGTATTTATGTCAATGTGTCTATAGAAAGAATGGTTCTAAAGTGTTCCAAAACATTTGCAACATTTAGTCAATTTCTCAACCATTGCTTGACACTCAGAGCATATGTTAAACCTAATTTAGAAGAAAAACATCACACAAAAACAACTTCCATGGGAAAAATTTTATTTATCAATATGCGGTAGTTTCCAAACTGGTGGAACATTATTTCCATTGTAGCTGGTGCCAATAGGTTACGCTGGGAAGCTGCGAAAATGTGAATGGCAAGAAAATAAAATAACAAAACTGACAGTTATGATTCAAAAACAAAGGGAACGAATTCAACAGGTTTTGCTTACACATGCACATTGAAAATAATACTGTGGCTTTGAGCATTACAGTGAGGGGCGCAGTGGACCTCCTCGCGCTAAATCTGGAAACAGAGAAACGACAATGGAGCAGGAAGAAGAAGAGTTTAGACAAAGGACCGCCAGCAGATAATACCCAAAGAAAAGCATGATTTATTGTACGGCTTTGTTAGGTCGCTATCAAACATGGCCGCCTCTTCCCTCTCTCTCTCTCCTTCCCTCTCCACTCCTCCTCTGTCTGGCCCAATAGACCTATTAAAATCATCCTTTTTCACCCAAATGTTTGCTTATAAAGGAGTGGTGTAGGTAACGTAAAGGCAGTGGATTACACAGTCTTCATATGCAGAGCTAAGTGCTGTCTCTGTATCTTTCATAGTTTAAACAACCCATTCATTTTCAAAGGATGGTTTCAAAGCTTTAGTCCTGGACATTTTTCTTTTCATTTCCTGCTGAATAGTGAAACAAAATAAAATATGAACCCCAGTTTCTTTAACACATGTGGTAACAAAGACTTCTGACAATACTGGACGCTGCAAAATGACAGCTTATGTGTCGATTGCAATATACAATTTAACTCTAAAAGAAAAATAAAGAAAACATATTGCAAACAGAGACAAAATGCAAGGATTCATACAAAACACACTTTTTAAAAAGACAGCTATTTACAAACATCCTCCATTACAAAAATCTAATCTTTTAAATTTTCTTATGAGCAGTGTTCAGGTGAAATTACATCTTTAAAATCGGGCTCTATCCATATATTTACATTATTTTTTAACTCAATAATCAAATTCGAATAACATTAATAAGTGGTCACTAGAATGAATGGAAAATGGGAGGAGCATGGCGGGAGTGGTGGTGATCTGGTAATGAGTCCCTTGGCTGGTGTTGGTGAGTGATCGCGCGATGATCCGAAACGAAAACATTTGATCTAGATGTCTTTCGCAGAGGGGCTCCGCGCTGAGTCGAAACGCAGGTCTTAGAAAAAGCGCACAAACAGCTGCGAAAGTTGTTAACTCCGAGGTTAACGACACGCAAAAGTCTTAAGTCTTCCCCCTAAAAAAAACTCCAAATCTTCAAGCAAGCGAGGCAGGGGCCACCTTTTACACATCCGTGGATTGAGAGTGGCATAGCATGTGATGGGGTGTCTCTGGGGGTGACTAAACATGACAGAGGATGGACCTGGGCTTGTCAGTCTCGGTGCGTTTCGTGGATATGCAAAAACGTCAGGCTATAGTAGCATTTGAGGAATAGCTGTCCTTATCTGCTTCCCTCTCCTCTTCTCACACATCATTAACTGAGACTGTGGCGCGCTACGCTTTGGCAGCCGCACTATTTCGGAGCACCTCGCAAAAGTAAGTTCCTCTTTAGTCCAGGGAAAACAAGACTTGTGCTCCGTTGCAAAAAGGCTACAACGCACATTCACACATACATATTAATGCAGAAGGTGAAAATGGCAAATTTGAGCGAGAAATATGGGGAAAACTTTCAACAAACATAGTCGTCTTGGATTGGGTCCAATTTGCGATGTGGGATTCAATGGAAAAGACAACAACAAGCGCTCACACAGACATACAGAAGGTAAAACGGTTTTGCAAGTGAAGATTGGTTGATTTGGGTTTCTTTAAATTAGATGCAATTTGGGATAACTCTGAATATTTTGCTACAAATCAGTATTATTACAAGAAGATAACTATGTTTCTCGTGCTAGTCTAAAGCCTGAATTAATTTGAATGGGTTGCATCAGAAAACGCTATAAATTCCAGTTATCAGCAAATCAAAATATTAAAATATATTAAAATGCAGAAATGTAAATTGAAATAGCGCCACTAACTATAACTAGCTTATTAGATTCATATTTTAGCCACATTGCATGTAGTAACTTAGTCAAAAATCAAGTGTGCTACGAGAAAAAAAAAAAAAAAAAAGAACCTACCATTTTAAGCAAAAAAATAGTGGTAAACCTTCCTGCAAGACTAGTTGTGGTGCACCCCCAGATTCTGTGTATGCCCAAGGGCTGAGTGAAAGCCAACTCCACTGTCCTCCCCTCAGCCTCCGCTCGAGAATATTTTGCACCGCATTTTTTATTCAGCGCACAGGAGGCCGGGGAAAATGAATGCTAAAATACCTGCAACCAACCTCACCTCCAACTTTAGCCCTCTCCCGAACCTTCTATCCCCATCGCGACTGCCACCTCCTGCTAAGGTTAAGTCGTAGGAATAGATTCTGTCCCGTTTTGCTAGACTCTGCTGCCTGCTGCTAAGAGTGGGCAACTCGCTAGCACATGGATTAGTCATTAGACAGCTACAGATGGCGATTGGCAGTAGACAATACAGTATCCTTGTCCTGTCCAACTTTGTATTTGCAGGGACAGCCAACCTAAAGCCAATAGTCTGCGGGAATTCAACCTACGCCCACTGAGTCCACGCAGCGAGCAATAAACCAAGTGTTGCATGTTTACACTGTAGTGCTAGAAGCTAAAACAAACAAATTAACACAAGTTGAATGGTCTCAGCAACGTAACCCGCCGTCTAGCTATCTGATAAACTTTTAATAACTGCCAACGAGAGGATTTCTGCAAAGATCTGGCCCGTCTCTTGGCACGCTGGACTGTCTTTCTTGTTTTTGCAGATTTGGATACAGTAACGAAGCCTGAATTGGCCTGGACATGCCCATCCGCACAGTCATTCACATAAGGGAGACACTTTCGAATAAGTAGGTCATAAATACCAGACTAAAATAGGCGGAGATGAGGATTGAACACACCTTAACATTAAAAGTCCAGGTATAGGTAGTCTTTGCAATGGGATTAAATGAGCGATAATGATGTGAATGAATGTATGAGCGTGTTACATGTTTTGAATGAAATTTTCTATACATTGTGCACTTGTAGGAAAAAGTCTAACAAAATACAACTGCTTTGTGAACTGAATCAGGGAAATCCTCCATCAAAAATAGTAAGGCAAATATTAGAGGTGCGAGAAGGGATATAGGATAGGATTTTTTTTTTGTTTTGTTCACGCACTGTGTCTGATACCTGAGCTATCTGGAGACTGGTATAACACAAGCATTCGCGCTAGCACTCACACTATTATGAGCTTGCTGTATATAAACCCCTAGATGCTAGATTCAGGGGCTTGTCTGGGCCTGTTTTCCAACTTCACACCACAGGGAAAGAGGAGATGACCACAAAAAGTGTCCGCACGCGTAGGTCCGCTCCATCCAAACCCCTGTGTATGGTAGCCCAGCAGGGACACATCGGGGGGTATCAGTGTCTCTGTGTGGGGAAGGCTATAGAAGATTACGACAGGATAAAGGGGAAAAGGAGAGGGGGGCTTGGGATTCTCAGACATATCCAAACAAACAGAGATTTCGGACCCCCGCTGGTGACTGGCCAGTGCTTGTCTCTCCAGATTTGTGCAGCAGGTGGTACAAAACAAACGTCCCCCCTGAATGCAAAAAAAGTGTTCTTGAACATCCAAAAACCAAGCGCTCCTCTATGTATTCGTATTGAGGACACAAGAAATGAAGCAGAGAGTATAAGGGTGTCAGACTTTATAGTAGATATTGGCGGGGCTTTGCGGTGGCATTTCCTGGACAATATAGACTGGGTGCCCGTAATCGCCACTCACTTTCTCGTAGTGAGGGCAGTAGTTGTTCTCTGTCCGCAGGGGGATGATGATGTCACTGGGCTCGGTCCCGGCCGTGCCCCCCGGGAGCTTGGGGTTGGACAGGGTGCTGAGGGAGAGGGCGGAGGGGCGAGGTTGCGAGTGGGAATTCTTCCGGGCACGTTTGCGCATCTTGATGAGGAGGATGATCAGGAGGAGAATGAGCACGAGGAAGATGATGCAGCCGGCGGCGATGGCGGAGAACACGGCCACTTTGGAGCCCAGGATCCCGTCCGTGTTGGAGGAAGTGTTGGACTGGTCTTGGTTCATGTGGTCTAAGGGGAAAGAGAAAGAAAACAGTGTTAGTGAATTAAAGCCATATATCACAACATGACACAACATGAAAAAGAAATAAAAGTTTGTATTATTTTAAGTATAAAAGATCAAGATAGGTATTCCTATGGTAACGGTCTCTGGACACACTTACAGTCGTAATAGGAAAATGATTGTGCAACTTTTGTTTTATATCCTCGCCATTCTTCAGACATTTACAATCTTTGGTCTCCTAATAACATCCCCTACACACTACATATTGACATTAGCCCGATGCGATTGTTGACGTAGTCTGGTATAAACATATAAAACATACACCAAAGAAGGAAAAGACAATTGCTGAAAAAACTTTATGGAACGTTTACTTCTTGATCAGATTGGCCTGGCAGAGATGTACAGTGTACAGTAAGCAAAATGGTCATCCCGTTATCTTGCTACAGTAAATTGGGTTAAACTAGGGAACAAGAAAAGTAGCCATATGTTGTTAAAGGGTGGGACTGACTTGGCTACAGGACAGATACAAATATTTTGGGTAGCGTCCCTCTCTTGAGCAATCAGAGGTTAGTGATAGCATTTACCGCTAACTGCTCCTGTCATGAGCGGATCTCCCTAAATCAACCATGATCACGCCATTTGTTGTTTGCTGCGCCAGGACTAACAGGCCCATTGATGTAATCTAAGTGAATTAGCTCAATCAAAATAGCCTCCCCTTTAACGAAATCTGCGGTCCACACTTCAACACAATCCAGATTCTACCTCGATAACATTTCAGCATGTCAAGGGGGCACTTTTGTTTTCGCTAAGATGCGGGTGAATGCAGAAATGGGGAACATCTTGAATTTATTTCATCCTTTTGTCTATGAGGTTTGGGAGCATAAGGGGAGGGGGGCCGTGGTGGTGCTGGGGGGCTGTTATAGGATGAGAGAGAATGACTGAGTTGAAACTTGAGTCCGACCAAATCTGTTTTCCATGTATGCAAGCAGCTGCTGCCAGAGAGCTAACCCCCGCCGCTGAGATCTTTACTGTCAATGACCCGGAGGTGAAGGAAGTACACGCACTACAAGTAGAAGTTACTGTTACTGCGAAAATCCCTGTGAACAATACTACAATATAATACTAAAGAACAATACTACAATTCAATACTAAAACTGGTGCAATTACTTTTGCTACTAACTTCACTAAAAATACTTCGACCCAGTGCTTTTTTTACTCATGATACAGGTACAGCTACTGATACGAGCAACTATTCTGCCTTATTTGTACTAAGACTACTACAACTCCAAAGTACTTCCTATACTCCTACTTCAGTTATACCAGAACTAATACTAACAACTTTCACTATTAATACTACTACTACTGCAACAACTTCAGTAGTAACAACTTCAATTATACCAGAACTAATACTAACTACTATCACTATTAACAATACTACTACTGCAACTACTACAAGTACTACTAACTAGTTTCACTATTCACACTACTACTACTACTACTACTACTACTACTACTACTACTACTACTAGTACAAGTACTACTATCACTAACTGCAAATCAAACATTCATATTTCCCTAACCGTGGTTTATCATTTCCGCTTACCGACATTTACCTTAACCAGACTGAATTAAGATGAGAAAGATTATAAATGATCTTTTTATTCTAACCATTTCTAACCAAAAGTATTTAAATTAGGCACTTGCCACCTCCTCGCTGTCATGCTCACCCTGCCACACGTTACACAGGAGCCCCATATAGCAGCACTAATGAGCACTAACCATGTATTTAGCCGGGACATGGGGCGGATAGCTCCAGTCTTATGGGGCCTAATGACATCACTGAAAAGCTACCGGTGGCTGGGTCTTATCAGTGAAATCAAAGACAGGAGGAATTCAGTGTATCCAGCCTCTGTGTGGAGCTGCAGCGGGAGCCTGTCACTGGACCTCATTCTCCACATGTCAAGGCCCCTAAGTGCAAACCGACTCAGAACTGGAGCTACGGTGGGGGAGTATAATCAAGTAAAAGTACTGAGCTGAGAATTGCAATTTTTAAAGGTGCACTATGTAACATTTCTAGTGAAGGGTCTGCCATCTGATGTGTCCATGGGAATGTTATTGCTTTGTCTAGAATGTTCCACGGTATAGATTAAACCTATCTATCACAAGGGAGACAAACAGGTTACTGTACTATGCCACATTACAGTTCAGATCTGTGGAGCGTCGCCCCTATTCCCAGAAGGAATTATTGTATTTTTGAGCAATGGGAACACCCGTAATGGAGACAAGCAGGTAGTGGACCCTCCATCAGAAAAGTTGCGCAGTGTGTCTATTTTTTATTATGCAAAAACTTTCTTTTTTAGAGCTTTCTACCACGTTATAACATTGTTCCTTTATCAATATAGCATTTTCAAAACAGTAGAAAGTACCATAAAAGGTGATCTAAATATGTCATGTGTTAACAATTAATACCCCATAGAAGTGTAGCAAAGAGGGTAAAATGTTTACTAATTCAGTGGTGTATTTCTTTTTTAATACTTCTGCGTTGGATTATTTTAGCAGCTATTTTTACAGCTGAAAAACCCATATGTATAAATTATATGCTTCTATAACGGTTTAAGCCATATTCTTGGTTCATTTCATAGTTTGTTTGCTGGCGTTGGAAATACATAATTCTCATAATAATTTTGCTGACATATTAGAAGTAATTTATTTTTCAAACCAAGCTGGGTAAAATGGTGCAGAATATAATATGCTATATAGTGTTTTGCCTTAAGAAATTGAGTCCTTTCTCTAGCACCTTTTACATTACTGCGCAGGTAAAGAAAATTATCCATGCAGTGCAAAAACCTGACATGAGACAGTCTTTTGATAGCGTAACTAGTGTCAAATAAGCAAATTATAAAATAGCCTTATCACTTTGGGGCAGGCGGAGAAGTGAGCAGTCAGAAGTTTGAAGAGTGAGTCAGAAAGTTACTATGAAAAAACTCCCTTCCTTTCTCTCTCTCCCTCTTTCTCTCTCTTTTTCTCCTTCTTTCTTTCTCTCTCTCTCCATAGACTATGAAAGGTGCTGCTGCAAAACAGGAAGCTTAGGAGGGGCCCAGAGCAGCCAAGGAGCCCTCAATGACTTCTTCAATTATCAGAGCTTTTCATCTGTATTTATCTGCAATTCAAATGAGGTGTAAAAAATAAAAAGAAATTTATTAACAAGAAGTCTGCCTTTGAGTCTCCTTGGGTGGAGCAGGCTCAGTGAACAATGAACAAGCAACTCCAGTTTGCTTGTTGGTATTGGGAGGGATATGTTATGCAACTGATATGAGCATTGTGTTACTTTAGCTGTGTATATTGACCTACATGGAAATGGGGTGGTATTTTCAGTTGGGTCTCAGATCATTTCCACTTCTCTCAAATACCTGAATGGTAATACTACTACTAGTACTACAACTACTTCTACTATTACTACTGCTACTGCTACCACTACTGCTACTACAAATATTACTAATACATGCTATTATGGCAAACTTCTTTTAATTTAAATAATTTTATCATTGTCATACTTTTTTGGAGGGCATTATTTTGTTTTGTCAATGTGCAAGACTATGGAGAGAGATACATAGTTTCCTATATTGCAGTACTACTACTACGGCTACTACTACTTCTACTACTACTGCTACTACTACTGATACTAGTACTAGTAGTAGTAGTACTACTCCTACTACATTCTATGATAGCAAATTTTATCACTGTCATACTTTTTGGAGGGCTTTGTTTTATCAATGTGCAAGACTATGGAGAGAGATGCATAGTTACCTATATTACAGCACTACTACTACTACTACTACTACTACTACTACTACTACTACTAGTACTACTGCTACTACTGCTGCTACTACCTAACAACTGTTGCTACGGCGTCTAATATTTGCTATTCCCGTATCCATGTAAGATTATCTCTCTATGACTGAATCAAGGTAATATGTTTGTTTTGGTGGATTTAATGTTGCAATACTGATTTGTGTTGCTATTAATCAAACAGACCACTTATACATACCTATTTGTTAACCCATGTGGATCAAAGCTACGCCTCTGGCTGTAAATTTAATGACTTTAGAAAAGCTGATTTTTAGATTCCCTTTTCTGGCATTAATTATTACGGATAAACCTAGAGGCGTAGTTTTAACAATTCAATAGCCTTTGTTTTAATAAAATGTTTGTCCCCATCGCCAGCCATTTGATGTCTCAAGTCAAATTTGCTCTGGTGAAATATTAAAATCTACCATCTACCATTACCACAAGTGCTACTACTACTGTTACTACCACTATTGCGGTACTTTTTTACCAATTGTAATACCCTAGTTGTCACTGCTATTACTACAAAGTACAATAAATGCAAATGCTTCTAATACTTTCATACTGCTAATTCCATGCATTACTACTTTTATTACTATACTTTAAAACTACTTTAAACACTGTTACCAACACTAACTAGTACCAATGTTACAACGAGTACTACCACAATTACACTACTTACTTTACACTTGTCATAATCATACTTCTATCACTGCTACTATCTATGCAGGTACTATTATTACTTTTACTGCTACTGCTACTACTACTATTATTATTACTATACTTACCTACACTGTTACCAATATTAATGTTGCAACTACTATTACCACAATTACGCTACTTATTTCTACAACTTCTCAAACTCCTAGTATTTCTGCTACTATCATCGCCTTTACGGCATCTACAACTTCAACATTAGTAATAACCTTTGGTCTCCTAATCGGTACAATGTGATCCTCCCTGCTGTCAGCCATTTTGCATGAGAAGTCTGAGCCGCATGTGTTCATGTGTATAAAGTCAATCTGCTCACCATGGTTTCCTGGCAGCACCGGGCCTATCCGGTTAGGGTCAGATGGGCTGGGACTGGATTCGGGGATGGCATTGTCCTCCACGTCTGATTTCGGGGTCTCCGGCGCGGCGGGATTTGCATTGGGGACTGCGCAAAAACAAAGAAGAAAAAAAAGAGAGGAGAAGAGAGATAGAGAGAGAAAGAGAGAGAGAAGAAATCGTCAGTCTAGGTTGAAGTTTGTGCCTGTGTTGAATTACAATGCATTTCTTTATTATCTTTTGATTCATCTTTCAAGCTGTAGGAAGGTTATGGTTGCATGTGTTCAAAAGTGCCTCAGAAGCGCAGATGAAAGCTCGGAAAGAGGAAGGACACGTTACCGTACGGATCCGCTACACGCTGACGTCCCTGTCCTGTCGTAAAAAATATGTGCTCACATCAGCATCAGTGGTTCTCAACGCAAACACTCAGACAGATATCTACGCCACTGACACATTCACGACCACAAATCACGCGCACGGAGACTGCACGCCAATACGCACCCAGCTAGCCCGACAATACACTTAGGCAATGGCAGAATGAGGGTAAAGTAGTTATATATTAACTTTTTATTGTTCTACATTATTCATCGCGTTAAAAGGCCATAATATGCCTTATTTATTGCTCTGGCTTTAACTCTTAAGAGAGAGGCACTTCTGACTGTGTGAGGACAGGAAGAGGCAGCCAGGAGGGAGGGGCAGAGGAGAGAGGGATGCACTTGGAGAGATGATGTAGTATCTATATGAATATGTATAGCACATTGATGACTTTGTGCGGTAAATACAGGTGTCCAAGTGTTCGGAAGTACCATTTACTGTTATGAATACAATGGAAACCGCTAACCACTGATACTACTGCAATATTAACTACTTTGAGTCTAGGCACTACTGTTCCTATTTTTTCCATTTTCTGATCTATGTTGTAATGTCGTTTCCTCGTCACAAGTTCTTCTTCCACCTTGTAATATCATATGGTAATACAGGAAGGGCTCCACTGTGTTATTAAACTTCACGCACCTTCACAAGCTGGGACAGAGCATTTTAAACTTTGGAGACATAAACAGACTTATAATACAGGATTACTCAGCCATGTGTGAATGAAACAAAATGGAACTCCAGGTATGTTTTTGATGAGGTAAGAACATTCTAACATGACTAAAAGCTCACAAGTCAGTGATGCGTAATATGGGACCTTGAACTACAACTGCTACTTCTCTCCACTACAATGCAGACTGTTTTATTATTACTGTAACTTAAACCAGAACTGCAAGGCAAATTAAGAATATACTCTGATATCTGATATACTCAGTGAAAGTTTTGCCATCTGACCAAAATCTATCAAGTACTACGAATACTCCTATTAAGACTACTACTGCTATGATTGTTACTAATAACTATTCTTTTTCTAGGTAATAGCTAGTCCAGATAGAAATTGCCACCTGTACCTCATACCACTATAAAATATCCATTATAGTAACCAAAATCAGTACTACACCAAAACTAACATCTTACTGCTGTTATACTGCGATTTCTGTCAATACAGCTCAACATTTTGAAAGCAGACAGCTATCTACAGACATTTACTGTACTTTGAAGTCTTTGAGGTTTGAACAGAGCAGTGGGCCCTCTCTCTCCAAAGTTTATGACCCAGGGCAGACACTAGACAGTTATAAACTATTACTGATGTGTTCTGCAGCACTATCTGATGGCCCCACTCTATCTGGACCTTATCTGCATCTGCCCACAGGCCTCCTCTGGGGAAGGAGGAGGGGTATGCCGAGAAAATAGGGGCAGTTTGCATTCAGTTCCCTGGTGGTGAAGTCTGTCTGGCTGTCCGATCCAATGGGGAGAAAATGCCTATAGTCTAGCAGTCCATTTCCATCTTGGTTTTAGGCAACTTTTTTTTCAAATGCGGGGAATAGTTTTGGGTGTGGACCATTTGGCACAGATGAGTATAGGAAAGGTCCAAATAAGACTAAGACTAAGTAAGGTACAGAGGGCTTAGAAAACAAACAAACAAAAAAAAAAACATTTTGCAGTTTTTAAAAAAAAATGTTATGTATTTTTATCTTAATTCATCATATTCAACATTATTAAAATATTCTATTAGGGTACATTTAAGTATTACAGTTTTTAAATTGAACACAAAATATCTTTTCAAGCAGTCAATTGTCTGTTTTGATTTTTGAATAATTTTTTAGATAAGGGATATTTTGTATTGTCACTCTGGTCAGAATTATGATTGCCAAGCAGTCAAGATTATTTTAACTATTTTTAAATTTTAGAATAATTTTAGATAAGGGACATCTTATATAGTCTCCTTGCTGCATTGTTTACTTTGAATAATTACAGTCTATGAGTTGGACACAAAATTGCAGTCATGCCTCTTTTGATTTTTACATAATTTTTAGATGACATTTTGCATAGTCTCCATGCTGTACTCACTGCCCACTATTATGTTTAAATTGGGTTGCCTAGCAGTCATGTCTATTTTAACTTAAAATTTTAATACATTTGCATAGCGGGAGCAATTTAGTGCAAGCTAAGGTGACTTCATGTGCATATTTTAACTATTCTGGCACAGCTAAGTACATTATAAATCTGATCTCTCTATCTCTTGTCACTGTCCACTTCTCCACTGTCCGGCTCCCTGCACACCGCATTACACCAAGAGACTGATTGTGCTGCAGAGCTGAACCTATAGCTGTAAGCTGCTGTTGTGTGCTGTCAATAATTGATGAGCAAAGACCAGAGTGAGAAGTGGGAACATTCACGCATGGCAGAGGATATGAGAGGACACAGTGATCTGATTCAGGCATGCCCCAAACAGTAACACGGTCCGACGCTACTGAGCATGTGCAGAGAGCAGTGTTCTAATGTCCTGACCCATTTTTTTGCCTCATACACATTCACTCTTAGTTTTTTTTTTTTTTTTTTTTTTTCTATGTGCTGACATTTCCCTTAGCTATGCAGACAGCGACTACCTCAGAACTGCCAAGCCGCCAGAAGGAAGAAGGGAGGAGGGGGAGGAGAAGGGGGAGGAGGGGGAGGAGTGATGGAGCGACAGAAAGACATTGTATGAAGCAGAGAAAGAGAGAAAATAGGCCGTGAGTCAACATATTTATAATGAGAGCAGTGAAGGGACCATAGCTACCATTACACACACTAAAACTATTATAACTACTACTATTACTACTTATGGTATATCACCACCAGTAAGTATTATTATTACAACCATAAAAACGACTATGCAAAACCAGCTTTTTCTACTATCACTAATAGTACAGTACTAATTCAACTTAAAATTCAGTTTATAGTATTATAATAAAGTTATGGTCCCATTACCACTGTCTGACACTATCAAGACTTTAAATAAGTAATTAATAAAAGTACTAATCTAAACCAATGCTAATAATAATATTAATGCTATATTTCTGCTACTATGACTACTAATAGAACTACTACTTATATTTACTATCAAAACTGACTGCCTGTACTTCATTAAATAATGCCAATAGCACTATCACAATTATAATAGAGTCTGCAATATCTCATGAGGCTATAACTCCTGCATTACTACTGATAAAAAGAAAATAAAAAGACAACTACTTTTGCCAAAGATTGCAATAAAACATAAATTATGACACTTCCACAGCTATCAAAACAAATTACTAATATTAGTGCAGTCCACTAATAGTAAGATAACTAACAAACAGAAAGAGTGTATTCAGTAGACAATGACAGAATAGTGGTTGAGTCAACATATTTCTAATGAGTACCGTGTGACAGGACAGACTGGATAAAATATGGCCTTTCTATGTTTTCCTTTCAATCAATTCGTCTTCCATTCTCAACTTGGCTTTTTAAATGAAGACAAAAGACACGGACAGCAGACATTTAGAGGACAATTACGAATCGATGTGTCATCTCCTGCAATGATTCAAGCTGATTACACCCAAGGGTCCTCTCCGCCGCAGTTAATGCAAATGTAACATTAAAGAGAATGACATATTGGAGATGGTGGGCTAGAATGGAATAATACATAATAGGTTAATAACTATTACAATTTGTACAATTGCAAATACGATTGTGGCCATTACTTCTCAGGAAACTACAAATACCAACATCCAGCTAGGACTGTCTCAATGATTACTACATCAGCTTATCGTTCAATATATGACCTATGGACCTATTATTTTGGGGGTCAATATTTATCATGGGGTCTTTTTCTTTGTTTTAGTGGAATGTTTTTGGTTATTTTTTCTGCAATATAATATGATGATGATGTAGAAAGTCTAATCAAGAAATAAAATTACTCAAAATAATTACCTAAGTGTTGCTTTCTGCTATATATATTATTGCAGCTCACCAGTATTTGACAATATTGCACTTTTAGAATCCTTTTTGTGAATAATTCTGCTTTATGGTTTGTTTTTAATATTATCGTTTATCATCTATATTGACTTCAGCAATTTGTTATAGTGACAGAGCTACACACTGCCACATTAACTTGAACTTACATTTTGGGCTGTGCATTTAATCAAATTTAAATTGAATCGAGCTGGAAAATTGTCACTATTTGGCGCTTTTTAATCGAGAGCTCCACAGCCAATCCTCTGTCAGTAATGGTATGTGGTTTGAAGCAGACTTCTGACATTGGATGAATAAATTAAAGTTTTTTGTTTTAATCTGCACTGATTAAAAGTCTGTCTTGTATATGTTCATGAAATTACTATTGAAATAAAAAAATAAATAAATAAAAAGAAACTTAAAATTGAGGAAAAAGGATACATAAATTTGCCATATTGTCCAGCCCTGTGTTCTTTTCTTCTGTATCACAACTATTATTGTTCTTATCTCTTTTAATCTCTTTTCTCCTGTATGTCTGAATGACCAATAAGAACCTTGAACCCTTAACCTTAATATTTATATGGATATTTTAACTGTAGCTAACGAAGAGCACAAAAATGTGAGGTATGGGTGGACATATGGGCAGATCTTGGGCACTTGGCGTCGAGATGAGGCGTTGGCATTCAGAGGCAGAAATGGGAGGAAATGTGGCTTAAACACAATAGCATCTGGGGTCAGAGCCAAACTGTGACCAGGCTCTTTCTGTTTGGTCAAACAACACCCAGCGCCACTGCAGAGTGTGGGAGACCAGGCCCGCAAAAATACAGTGATTTTTCTTTGTTGAAGGTAATTAATTTCTCTTGTTTGGCCAAGAAAAACAATCACATTTTCAATGAGCCTCAGGTAAAGACTGTTGTTTGTGTGAGAGAGACTCAAAACCAAATATCCAAATGGGCCATCAGTTAAAATGTATGACACTATATTAGCTCGATATATTGTTTAAAGTATATACAGGCACAAGTACAACCAAATAATGTGGGTTAACTTTGGACAGTATAAAACAAATATATTTTAATTTAAAATATTATTAGCTTTATGAGGCTGATTATACAAAATATGCATGATTAAACAAACTAAATAAATAAAACTGTGAATAAAAGATCACACTATGGATCATTTATTTACAGATAACCAAATACTTTATATCTTAACTAGAACATGCATGTCCAAACTGGCCTTCAGGCTATACTAGATGAATTAGCCCATATTTCACCAAGTAGTACTTTTGAAAGTTTTTGAAAATCAAACTCGATTAAAAAAAAAAATCTAATACTTTTAAATACTACATTGTGTCCTTTTGAGGATCTAAACATGGATGAAGGTCTGGTGGCACATTTTAATCTGTTATTAAAGCACATATTTTAATTATTCTTTGTATTAACTGCTAGTCCGTGGCCTTTAATTGGCCCTCTGCTTCGTCTGTGTATAGACATGCGCCCTTGATGAGAAAAGCCTGGCCACCTCTGAAATAGAAGTTTGAGGCCACGTGTGCAATACACTTGTGAAATAATAATGAATTGAACCACCATCATCAAACTGAAATGCTAATTGTTGTATTATTGTTGTTGTTCGCACTTGGATATAAGCTTTAGCTGTTTAAAATGTGATCTATAAATACATTTGGTTTGATAATTGGACTTAGCTCATTACATCACATTGTTTGCACTAGCCCTGCCAGTTGAGAATCATAGGTGTAGTTTGTATGGATCCATGTATAGAGAAATGAATACACAGGATTTTAACATGCATCAAGGTAAAGCAACACACAGTTACATCATTAAGTAGTACGAAATGGAGAAACATGAGGCCACTTGATTTTAAAGTAGCTTTTCTTCTCTGAGTAAATAGGCTTTTCACAACAAACAGCACCTAGCCTGTGTGCGTGACAGTCAAATCAAAGCCTCTGTCTGCCTCTGAAACTAACTATGTGTGTGTGTTGGATTGGCACATTATGCATCGACGCTCCCACCCACAGAAATAGATGTAAAAGTAGTAGCAGCAGCTGGGTCTACCGCATCTTCTCTAACAAGGTTTTGATTGTGACTGACAGCTACTCTGGTCCGTTTTTAGGAAATTGAGGGAAAGCCTGGGAGCATCCGTGACACGCAAAGTCTTCGGATTTGGGAACGGGTGCTGCTCCTGCAAAACTTTCCCCAAATAAATGCTTTGAAGTTTCATTAACACAACCTCAAGAGATTCATTCATCCAACAGTTTGATTAGTTTGTGTTCAAGACCGAATTGCTTCCACTTTTGCTGCGGTGTTGTCAGCCATCGGAAGGTGTTGCAATCGCGAGCTGTCGTACTCTCAAATTGACCTACATGGAGAAGATAATGCAACGCCTGTCTGTCTCTGAGAAGGTTTGTGGGGGATTTTCACTGTATTTTCTGCTGAATTTGTTCCGACTCGAACCTTGCTAGCATCAGCAGCTTGTTAGCTTCTATCCGCCTCCTCCAGACTGCCAGGATGCAACACTGTCATCCCACTAGCCGGCATTCAAATCACCAGATGTGGGTAGCCAGCCAAAAATGTATTCGTACTTCAATATAATACTACTCCAGTAGAGGTAGTAAAAGTGGGTGTTGAGGTATTATATGTACTTTAGTATATTTTTAATAGGCGTAGTTAGGCCCACTTTTAGCTTGTAAAATATTTGGGAAGAAGTATGTTTGTAAATTTCCACATACTTTTTAATACTTTTTATTAGGGGTGTGACAAGACACATTTCCATAAACGAGACGAGACACAAAATTAGGTCCACAAAAATTAGATTTTGAAATAATGTATAATAAAATAACTGTGGGAGCTCATTTGCAGTTTTGGTCTAACATTTTCTAATTTCATATTTTTGTTGGACAGTCGTATTAAACATTCTTTTTGGAACCACAGCTCTACAAGAAATAGAACTTTTGTCCAATCTGGATGTAAACCAAATGGAAAACAATCTCACAAGATCAAATTCCTCATGTCAGGAGTTACTGCCCCATCCCCACTTTCTACTAGTTTGCATAATTGTGAGAAGTAGTTATCAAAATCTAATCTGATCTGTCTTGTCTGATACATGTTTATTTACAAAGATGTAATCTAATTTCAACTGGCTTATTTGGTGAAATTGCACATTCATTTTTACTAGTTAAATCCAAGCACAAGTATAAACAATAGCGCTACATAAATCACACTTTTTGTTTGAAATACTTAAAACTGCAGAGTGTTACAATGAGTTTTAGAAATGTATTTTTATTGTTTTTTACTTCTACTTCTGTGAGTGTTTTAACTTTTTGCATCATTACTTATTACCTAAAGACACAAAATTAAAGTCCTATAAAAGTACGATTGACTCCAAAAGTTAGTCAACAATTACAACTATTTAGTCCTCATTAGCATTCACATCTGTAAATCTCTACACAGTACAGTTCCTGGTTTATTTTGAATGGCGAGAAGCAGCTTTTAAACTTCACTCATCATGCTATCAGGCAGATGTTCCCCTCCGAAGGGTCACAACACGCCGACAGGAGATGAGGAGATGTTTATGAAGTAACACATCTGTATACTGTAGCCTGTCAGGCCCTGGATACGAATGTCCAACCCGCTGGCTCCGTGCGCGTCCAAAAGTGAAATATATGATGCAAACCAAATGTTGTGTCCGAGAATATGTAAACACCAGCGCTTTGTTTACGCCAGGCACTTTTAAATGAGACGACCACAAGCATCCCGATTTCAAACACATTTTCTCTCGGTGATTGCTGTATAGAAATCGTATCGAGGAACAGCTGAGGTATAGGCGAGCGAGAGCCAGAGTCATCTTTCACTGTCACTTCTGATTTCGCTTGTGTTTTTCCATGGACCAGTTTTATACACTATGTGAACAAACTGTTTATGTCACAAAATGAGATTTATTCCAAATGTCTGCATGTAATTAATAGTGGTGGTTGATGCGGCTCTGCTTTGGTGTAATGTAATAAACTGGCAAACTTTCCTGAGGTCCTTTTGAGAGGCTGATTAAAGGCAAAACAACCAGATGGGAATTTTCTTTCAATGCGGGCGTATATATATATATGCCTGACAAATAAAGGCACTTCATCACGCTGATGCAAAAATCTCTAAATCCAATATTACAGTCCATAAAGCAGTCGTGATTATTGATTTGCAACACTGGCTGAGATGACCGGCCGTAATATGAGGAGATATTAAAGGGGTAGTTGCCCAAATGCAAACTCTGTGGCCGGTACACTATGTCATAGGATAGACATGTGTTTTACATTTGCACCAACCGCAGCAGCTACACACAACATCATACAGGGAAATGCATTACTCATTCATTTGGCTTTTTACTTATTTTTTATAGTAGCATTAAAGTTGTATGGCAAATTTTGTACAGAGGAAATAAATTTGGTCATAAAATGCGGGTGAAATTTTGAATCTCAGAATGCTCAGAAATTTATAGCAGAAATGGATAGTGAATATCTAAATAAATGTATTATTTATTTTTTCTGATATGTAATTTTGTGGGGTTTTTTTTAAGTATCTATTTATTTTTATTACATGTAGTTTTTATTTTAAAGCACCCTATAGATAAAGAAAATGAAATGACTTAAGAAAAAGCTCCTTCGTGTGCAGAGATAAGCTTAAAGCTATAAAATGCCATTGACAGTTTAATTGTGCTGTTTTATACCACCACTTTAATACCATAATGAGACGCCTATGTTTTTATGTACTCGGCATAAATCCAATAATAATGTTTGTAAACACAATTACACCCGAAATGAGATCACGCTTTGTAATCTCTATCCTACTTTTTATGCAACAGAATCGTTTGACAAAAAGCTAAAAAAAACCAACACATTACAAGTGCTTATGGAGCTAGTTAACTCCAATGTAGGTCAATGGGAGACGCTGGTGCAGATGGCCAGTTCATTTCATTTGACAAGTTTCCGGTACATGCTCTTATGGTGTGTGAGATAGTGTCTGTACCGGAGTCACGCTCGGCACACATGGCGATAAATGAAAATGTCAAACTAAAGTGAAACATGGCTCTGAGGCAGTTCCACCAAACCATGGGCGAGCTTTGTTACATGAGATGTGCGTGAGGTGTGCAGCCATTTACCTTGCCCAACTTTCATGATGACTTTCATGGCTCTGCTCTTGCAAACTCCCCCTTCGCGGTTCTCCAGTCCCTCCACGGTGCCGTTGGATGTAGCTGTAAAAAAAAAAAAAAAAAAGAAAGAAAAAGAAGGGACAGGGGACAAGGGCGGAGGAGAGAAAAGGAGATGATGGTTAATGAGCGTGTCCAAAACGTACCGAACTAATCAATATTTACGACAAGAACTGATTAGCTGTTCCAGTGATTAGCTTGTCTCGCTTTCAATCAACCTCCCGCTTCAACCTCCTCCTATTAGCACAATGCAAGTGATTGGAACAACATTGAACCACCGGGGGAGTACGGCAAATCGGAGAGGCCAAAAAAAAAAAGAAAGAAAAAAAAGAAAAAGCGTGTGTATGTTCAGTGCATAGTTTCACAGTGAGACACGCCAAACAGTCACTTCCAGCTGCTCAAGGCTAAAGCTAACTCCCTCTGTGCCACATGTGTCATTACTCCTCAGTGCTAGTGCTAACAGCTAAGTGCGTTGTTTAATGCGAGTTATCAAGGCTCATGCGCGAGTGTTAGCGTGAGTGAAGAGCGAGGGGTCGAAGGGCTGTTTATTTAATGTCAAATTCGTTTCAGACGCCGCTGACACAACCGGACAGCTATTTTAGGGCTCTTGATAATGACCTAGGGAGACAACGTGTGACTCTGACCTTAGAGCCAAGCAGCTAGCACTGAGCAGCATGCTAGCACGTGTGGGTATTTATATGTATGTGTGTGTGTCTGTGTGTGTGTGTGTAAGGAACAGTGGGGGCGACAGCGTGGGCGAAGGCTAATTTTGGAATTTCCCAAATGATATCCTCCTAGGCGGCTTGTTTCTACCCTTCCGCTTTCCTGTTCTTTTCCGAGCATTATCAATCCCTCTGTCTTTTTTTTCCCTAATTTACAGTTTTATCTGCGAACCATCAGCGCTCGCCCCTCCCCGTGCCTCCCCGCTTTTAACTCGATGACCATCTCCCAGGGTGATTGCCTGATGGCACCCTCATTACCGTGAGATAGTCTGGGAGAGAGAGAAAGAGAGGAAGAAAGGATGAGAGAGAGGGCTTATCTAATGATGACACAATGAAAGACGGGGCCGGCCTTCAAACAGTGGGGAGGGCCAAACAATGCACTGCTAATATGGAGATGTGCAGTCCTGCTGGCTCCTACAGTGTGTTTACAAGAATTACTTTGGTATGAAACAAGTGATGGGTCAGAGATGGGAAGACTTTGGCAAAGGAAAGTCCCAGTCAATAGCAGATGTACAGCCTAAAAATCAAGTTACTCAAGCAGACATGACAGGAAAAAAGCAGGCCGCACAACCACAAAGTAACAAGTTTGACGGGTAGATAAATCAACTACAATAATGTGCAAATTCTGGTATTTCAAACCAATAAACAAGACATAGGTAAAAAATATGGCATTTATAAAACCACAAATTAAAGCACTGACACTTCCAAATGTCACTTCTCACCACAGAGAATAGTTGCTGAAAACCTAATAAATGAAGGGTCAAGGTCTAAAAAAGTTTATCTTTATAATTTATAATGTAGCGTGCTATTCTTTTAAAAGTTAGTTCAATGCATTTTTCTTCAGAGGCTCATTACAGCACTACCATTTCCAAACATTACGCACCGCAAACGTAACTAATGATCACTAATAGAGATGTTTCGCCCCACTGGTCTCTTCCATGTTCCATCAAGCGTCACCTTGGAGTAGACCTTTGTTGGATCACCTCGTGTTGGAGCACTGGCTTTGGAACGCTGTGGAAAGCTCATCCAGTTGATTCATGGCTTGTCATTCCTAAGTGTTATTAATGTTGACATTTTGTTTCCCAGTAGGATTTCAGCTTTGTGCTCAGGCAGGATTGAAGAAATAATGAATTGCGCTAATATTATGTTACATTACAATCCAAATTACAAGAGGAGCAGGGGTGTCGTGTTAGTGAAGCTAGTGCTAATTTGTGATTGAGATAACATCTTGACATGGGCTTTCCAGTGAAATCCCCGGCCGTAGACTCAACAGGATGGAGCTGGCCGGATGATATGGGCCAGAGACAGCTGAGGAGACTTGGACTTGAGGACAAAAGGGGAACAAAAAGAACTCAAACTTGAAAAGGACATTAATGCGGACACTCAAAGCTAAGTGTCTTGTGATTTATGTGTATTGCGAGCAGAGGTTTGGTCTGTTCTTCAAACCTGTTCTCAGTCATACTCCCCATAACCTCACCCTTGCCATTTTTTCCACCCAGATTCTCCCCTCTTCTTCTAATTTCTGCGTTTCCAAGGCAAGGTTAGACAAAAATGAGTTCTTTGAAGACAGGGCTCCGAGGTACTTGAATAATCTAACTAAAAGTGAGCGTCATGCTATGAATTTTATATCCACATAGGGAGAGCAAATCTTGCAGTGTTAACTTGCTTCTGTCATCTAAATTAACTATTGCTTCAGGCTGGCTGCGCGGTCTCCGGTGTTACTGATGTGGCATGATGATAAGTGGGGCCTTGGGGGCTACTGTTTAGAGGGACAAATGAAAGAGAGGTGGATTTATTCAAATGCTTGATGAGTCTATATGTTGTTTGTATTCAGGCAGTTTAAGATGTCAAATAAGTCAATGTATTTATGGAAATGTATTATCTGGTTAAGAGCATCTAGTTTAAACCACTTGCCTTATGCTAAAGTACTTTTCATGATGGCAAAAGCAACTGTTGAGTACATTAAAGTGATCCAATGAATAACATTAAGAGCCGTTCAAATCGCCATGTCCCCATAACCCTTGTCTTATATCTGCGCGCTTACATCTATCATGTCAAAGATCACCCCACAAAGACGATTTACTCAATTACATCTACAAAATCTCTCGAAATCTTCCAAAGAGGACAGCGTGCCAGTTGGGGTTAATCTAAAAGTTGCTCACTCATTTCACCTCTGTCTCCGCCCGGGACTGTAATCCAAATCGGGATTGTTGGATATTAAAAAGCCGGCGGTCACCATGTGTGGCGTTTTCCGGAAAAAAATAGGAAACTGGGGAATTGGGTCTCCTTGTGTGTCCCGCTAGAGACACTAAAACTCCAGGGGATCAGGAAAAGACGGAACTTAGAACAAAGAAACTCCTGCTGCTCTGATGATTTAGTGGAACAAAATCTGGAATACCAGAAGAAACGGTCATTGCATGAAGGAATGTTGCTTTTTTAATAAAGTGCTTTGGCTCTGTCGATGGCTTTCTCAGTGATTTAAAGCGTTTTTGGTGGGTGTGGATCGTTGGCCGCGCACAAGTGGGAGAACAAAAAAGATCTACAGCTGCTGAAGTCATAAGAGGAACCAGGTGCCAAATGTTGATGTTGGGAAATATCTACGGTTCAAATGTATGGGCCAGAAGTGAGAGAGCCCAGTGGGGGGACAGACTGGCTCCTGTTCACCTTACATTATAAAGAACATACTCCACACTTAATATTTACAGAAATTAAAGGGGAAAGATATGGGAAAAACATATGCAATAACTATGATTAATACAGTTATATGACGACAGTATAATTTTGGGGTAGTATGGCTACAATAAACAGATACAGTACAACTTTCACACTTAATATCAACAACTAAGGCTGTATTATTTGAAAAAAAAAACAAAAAAAAACTGTCAAATATTATGAATTAAACAAAACAAACAGATGGCATATTTATCCATTTTAATTTATGGGATTCAGTTTTGTCTGAATTGTGCTGTTGCTGCCTCTTGGCCAGAACTCCCTTGAAAAAGAGATGGGACTTTTCAGGTAAAAAAAAAAAAAAAAAAAGGTTGCATCACCTACTTGTTTCTATGGATATGTCATAGCTCTGCCTAGAATGTTCCACAGTATGACATTAAACAGCTCTGCCTTAAATTTATTCAGTTACAGTGGATTTATTTCTCAAAAATACCAACAAAAACAGGCACTCTGACAGGGAGCAGGATTTCCTGTCCACAGATCTGATCTGTAGCTTGGTCTCCATGAAGATAGAAAGGTTTAATGCCATACTGTGAAACATTTCCATGGACCTTTCAATACACCCTTAATATTTACAACACAGTGCAATACATTATATGAAAAAAGTTAAATATGCAACTATTTTAAAATGAATAAAATAATGGAGGACATATTTCTTCATTTTAATTTATGGGTAAAAGTTGAAGTCTTGTCTGTAGATTGTGCTATTGCTGCCTCTTGGCCAGAACTCCAAATCCCAATGGGACTTTCCAGGTTAAAGAAAGTTTAAACTAAATAAAAATAAAATTCTTCATGCATGTATCTCACTCTGGTGACACCAACATTCACTAGCACTCGTTTAACTATGTCATATCATATTTCTTATCAAAAGCTCTCCACTCATCAGTATCACAACAATCAACAGACTGTACACGCTATTGCATCATATGTTTTCCTTTTATACCGCTGCCTTGATATAAACGAACAAAAATTTTCACAAGGACGATTAGGGCAGAGCGTAGGTCGTCTCCCTTGGGTGCCCCAGCGCAGGGTGGGAGGAAGGCAGTGCTGAGCGGACTAGGAGACACCCAGTACAGCAGCAGTCTGATGCGCTGCTCTATATTTATACTCAGGTCTGCCTAAATGAGGTCACCCAGGTGGTCCCGCTGAATACATTCCCCTATCTCCATCATGAATCATCCACTGCTTATTATTCCTGTGTCCGGCCCGCGGGGGATAGCTTTCATACTGTGCAATAGTCCGGTGCTATGTGTGTGTGTGTGAACGTGCGTGCCCCAAACGTGCACAAAAATCTGCCCAAAGCAAAAAACGAGCGGATAGATGGAGCCCATGTGACAGACAGAGAGCAGGTTGTTTAATGAGAAAGTGGATGAGAGGTGACATTCATTGGCTACCATTCACACAACCCCCCCCCCCTTCCCACTCCGGCCCCTTGGTTTTCCACTGCATTCAGACTTCCACTTAGAGGCGAGCCAGCATCTAGTCACTGTAACCGACGGTAATAATGTGTACTTTAGAAAAAGGAAAAACTGCAACTGATCATTCAAGACCAACGCCAATGAATAACACTTTTGTTTTATGGGTCTTTGGGAC